GGCAACATAAGGGGACATATACAAAATCTACTCTTTCTTCTTGAGTCCATAAAACTTGGCAACATAAGGGAACATATACAAAATCTACTCTTTCTTCTGGAGTCCATAAAACTCGGCAGAAATTTTAGATGAAAAAGAGTGATTATTTTCTAATTGTGCAAACCCAGAAAGTGATTGTAAGAATAAATGTAAGCCTGCCTTCCACTTGTTAATATCTACTTATGCTCCTGTGTATTTAAGATTAATTTTGGTAGCACAGAAATATTGAAATATAAGAACATTATGAGATGTTCCCTCTTAATCTGAAGGATATATTTCATCATGAGACATTCACAGTCTATCACTGTTGTAAGCTTGATTAGAGTCCACTGTGTAGGGGATATATCACACTATGTAGAGTCTAGCAGCTGTCTGGTGCCACACTTATGAAATACTTTAGCTTATCTACCTAGTAGGTGTTTTCTTTAATGTGGGGTAGTGCAGGCCCGTAGCCAGGATTTGTCAAAGGGGATTTCAGTTTTCAAAAATTTCCAGGGGGGGTTCACATGTGACAATTTTGGTCCAAATATGGCTAAAATCACTTGAGAAGTGCTCAAAAGGGTAAAAACTGCATGATTTTGAAATAATTTTTGGCCAGGGGGGGGTGGGGTTTGCCGGAACTCTGCGAACCTTCCTCCCTGGCTACAGGCCTGGTAGGATTAGGGGGTATGTTGACTGCCATTTTAGGTATACTCAAATGATTAGGGTCAAAGACGTAAATGAGTCCAGTGTGACTTTGGGTTGAGTTTAGCAGCTGGCGCACTTATCAATGTGTCCTTTCTTTTATGGTACCATATTAGCAGTTTTATGACAATTTTCTTGGAAAAACACATTTATTTTAATAGAGAATAGAGACCATATTTCCCAACACCTGCTCAGATTTAAATGATGCACTAAGAGGATCTGGTGATTTATGGGTTTAGTTATTTTGATAATTTGGCCCATTTTTATTTTATTTTTCAAAAACCATGGTGTCCAGGGATTGATTGACCATCCATAAAATGATCAAAGGGCTTTTTGATGTTTGTTTTCTTATTAACTCAACTTGCAAAAAAATCCAGATTATATTGTTTTGTGAAGCATTGGGTTATTTGGTCTTTATTTCTAAGTTAGTCACTTGAGAGAAGAATGTAAATATACTGTTGGAAGGTGAAATGAAGTACTTGTGTTCACACCTGCCACAAAAAGTAGTTTCTCTTCAGAAAATTGCTCTGAAGGTCATGTTTTGAAATGCAAAATAGAGTGGAAAAGAGTGGAATTAGCAAGGAATAAAGTAAACAGGCATGTAGTCAACACTCTAAATTGTATAGAAATGCAAGAAAACTAGACACTTCTTTGAAATTAATTTGAGAAAAGAGTGAAATTATAATACTGGTTGAAATTTTTAAGGGGGTTACACCTGCTACAAAAGTGTGCCTTTCTTTGGATAAGAAGTGTGCCTAACCTGGGCTCTTTGTCTCTTTTATCTTCAAAGTTGTTTTTAGGTTTTCAACAGTTAAACTGACCCCAGGCCTTTGAAATAGTACCACACACAAAACAATAGCCACTTGTGGGTTAGAGTATCAGTTGACAAAAATGGTCATAGGGTTCATCTCTATTTTACACATTCTCTCTCCAAAATTTGAATGAACTGCTTAATTTTCTTGCATTTTTATACAATTTAGAGTGTTAACTACATGCCTGTTTACTTTATTCCTTGCTAATTCCTCTCATTTCTCTCTAAAATTTGAATGAACTGGCTGATTTTCTTGCATTTTTATACAATTTTGAGTGTTATCTACATGCCTATTTACTTTATTCCTGCTTAATTCTACTCTTTTCCACTCTATTTTGAAATCTAAAACATGACCGCTATAGACAATGTCAACCAGCAAAAGGTCATAATCATCGCAGGTTCTTAATTCCAAAGCCCATCTGTCATTTTGTGTACTTGAAGAGCCTAGGATATCATTTTAAGTATAATATACATTGCACATACATAAACTACAGTATATGAATATTTTTTTTCGAGAAAATCTCATATTGCATACAAATTGAAAAAGTTACAACTTATCAAGAGCCTATTGACTTTTATTCAAAACGAAACTACAAAAAATGTTATTGTCATTGTTTTGTAATGTTGACTAAACCATCTGTCATTCTGATAAGTTCAGGGTTAAATTGAAACATGTGTTTTATCTTGAATATTTACAATAAATGTTTGCTTAATTTCTGGTGACTAACATACTAACATTTTGGTTTTTAACAAGACATCTGTTGTTTTGAATCAAGCCTAGCAACCTCCTTTCTCCATTCTGATATTTTCACTACTTCCTGTTTTTCAGGTACATTGTATTAATCTGTTAATGTTTCTAGGATTTCTGTTTCCTCATAAGTATATAATGTAATTATGGTATATTGCACAAGTTTTACATCTGTTACCATTTCCAAGTTTGGTTTTCCTTTTTTAAGTAAGAGCTTTACTAGTATACTGTTGTTTTCACCCCTCCCACTCATATACTTTCTGTTCGCCCATAGTAGGATAGGGTAATACAGGGGCCTATCATCCATTTGATTGTTAGCCATCTGCTATTTTGAGTCACTGACTTAGTTTTAGATACAATATTGTTCATTCTGTACTTTGTTCATATTTGAGCTTTAACTGAAAAAATGACCATTGACCACAAACACAGTTTTAATTCAAACAAAAGGAAGGAAATAAGTTCATTTTGTTTGTCTTAAACTCAAGTTAGGGATAAACATTAACATCAAGTCCAGAAAGCTGAGCTCATTGCCTACATTAAGTCAAAATAAAGATATACAAAGGCTGATACAAAGTCTATAAATATTTAGGTTCCCATTGCTATTTATTTAAAATGCAATTCAAATGATTACTAATGATATGCATAGTCTAATAGGAAATATCTAGTGACAAATTCTCACCATAAAAGTGAGAAACAAAGGCTAAAAAAATTAATGGAAACTGCCTGGAGTCAACCTAACGAAAGGCATGGAGACTTTGTTGCAAATCATCCGTCTGCTGATGCCCATTTCACACTATTTCTCTCTAAAATTTGAATGAAGTGTCTGATTTTCTTGCATTTCTATACAATATAGAGTTTTAACTACATGTCTGTTTGCTTTATTCCTTGCTAACTCCACTCTTTTCTACTCCATTTTGGAATTTAAAACATGACCCATATGCTACTTAGACAATGACCAAAATAGAACATAGGGAACAAAGGCTCAACAAGCTAATCAAAGTAAACCTAAGGCACAAAAGCTTTGTCAGAAGTCTCAATTATTGATAATCAAAGGTATGCCATAATTACAAGGGGAGGGGGTGAACCCATAAAGGGTTTAAAAAGTTAATTTTTAAGCTAGGCTAGTGTTGTGTAAGATCTTAAGCAGGCCCTTGGTTGAAAGGCGAGGGTTTCCAATTGACTTAGGGGTTTCACTGAACTTGGTTGAAAATGGTCCCAAATAATTCCAAAAGACAAAATTTGACTATGTCAGTACTAGCTTCTCTGCATCTAGCCCTTAACATGTATAATCATATTAAAAAATGAATAGTTTATGGAATCATAGATTAATCCGTAAATGACTAGATCGAATATCTCTCATATTTACATTGTGGTATACAGTCCGTATATGTTCAATAAATAACTATGAAATTGCCTGTCAGCAGCACAATAAACTTCAATAGAACATCTTTGTTAGTTTTTCCTAATTGATTAGTTTTCCTTGCAAAAAATGACATGAGAATCATCAATAATGAAAGCTTTGATAGAGTACCTGGAAAACATTTTTAGACACTCTAGATGACAGATATATTATGTTTTCAAAACAGTGACATCCGTCCGCATGATTCTTTCTCAACAACATGATGCTCAAATCCTGAATACAATGTATCATGATTTTGGCATTGTTGATATTTCGTATAATAGCAGGCTGGGGTGCAAGAATATTTTCAACTGGGTGACATGTACTATTCAAATTTTCAACAGGATGACAACACCTCATGCTCTATAACACTTGGGAGATCATTGTAATATATTCTATGCTAGTATATCCCTCAAAGTCCATGACGGTAATGATTTTTTGAGAGAGATTATTTCCTCGTATATCAGGCTTTATAGAGACGTATATTGTGTATTGATTCGTTTGTAGTGTTAAAGAGCTTAGAGCAATGCTGATAATAATGCAAAATGTGTATATTGTATTCAATGTGTTTTATTCTTCTTCGCATACATCGGGTACACTTTATAGGAAAATCAGGTTTGAAATAAGATTGTTTCTTCTCATCAGTTGATATGAGAATGCATTTCCTGAATGTCTGCATGTATTTTATCTATTTTACAAGTATTTCCTTTTGGCACATTCTAAACATTTATAGCTATATATTTCTATATTTCCATCCTCATTCATTTTTTTCCATGTCTTAGCTTTTTCCATTCTTTATTTTTTTGTATTTTTCTTCCACTAATGAAGACTACAATTTCTTTTCCATGTCTAAGCATTTTCCATATCAAAGCATTTCTACATCTAAACATTATTCATGTCGAAATATTTTTTTTTATTTACTGCAGGCTGAGTAATTTTGCATTTTTCATACCTAGTTTACACTTTTCATCGGTGGTATATGCAAATTTATTTTTTAAGTCTAAGTATTTTCTAGTATTTTCAAATCTAAGCATTTCCATATCTAAGCATTTTCAAAATCTAAGCATTTCCTTGTCTAAGCATTTTCAAAACTTAAGCATTTTCATGTCTAAGCATTTCCATATCAAAGCACTTTCAAAATCTAAGCATTTCCTAGTCAAAGCATTTTCATGTCTAAGCATTTCCATATCAAAGCATTTTCAAAATCTTAGCATTTCCATATCAAAGCATTTTCAAAATCTTAGTATTTCCATGTATAAGTATTACAAATGACTACCTTGAAATCATTATTCACAAGTCATTTTGCTGTATATTTCCAGAACCGTTCAGAGCCACAATTTCGCCACCCAGATCGAGATGAGGACCGCCAGCGTCACAATTCTGAGAAAGATCGCCAGAGCAGAACAGGACCATCGACATCACATCAAGGTGCTTTACACATTATAATCAATCAGCTTGCATCATAATTATTATTGTTTTTAACCATACATGATATCAGTTCTATAGCTATATTGTAACAATACAATAATCGCAGGGCATTCCCCACAATGAAATCTCTGAGGCACATCACCGGCATAACTCAAAAATGCTCTTCTAATACTTCTATGTGTTCCTAAAATCCTGAATAAAAAACCCATAAAATTCATTGAAATATTGCACAATAAATTATGAAATTTGAAAATGTTATTTTAAAAAGACAGCAAATCCTCCATACAAAAAATCTTGGGGAGAGTGCGGTCATGGATCATTGTAGAAGATATTCATGTCATTTGGTCTCACCTCTGAAGATTTGATTTAGTTTCAACTTCATATAAAGATAAATTGTGAAAGTCCTTCCCCAAAGGGACAAGAATGTTGTTCTCATTCCTTTATGCAGTGATTTATTTTCAACTGTTTTCAAAATCATTGATATCCAGGATTTAGGGCCGGTGTCTCATACAACGAGTACAATATTCACTCGGGGCCATATTTTTTTGTACACCTTAATAACCTTATATTTATGATTTACAGGGTTGCCATATTCACGTAGCAGTAGTGGGGTCCTACCAGACCTCCTCCCTCCTCAGACCCCACCCCGGGGCAGAGATGAGACCCCTCCCCGCCCCCAAAGACCACAAGACAAAACAGTTTCAGATGAGGTATGTATTTATCAGTTTACATGTCAAGGGCCTGTTGTACACCAGTGTGGCCCCAAACATGAGTTTTGTTCTGAAGTCTGTTCACTGGTGCATACTATTTGTGCATATACATGTTTGGGTCCTCATGTGAAACAATCAGGCCCCAAACATAATTATGACCTCATTATTACCATTTAAAGGTCTTGAGGTGTTTAACTATAACATTTCACAGTGCTACCAAATAACTGGTTTTGGGTGAACTTTCCTACAAAAAGTGGCTTTTTTTTAGCGACTCCTTCATTCAGAAATACATTTTAAATTGCTTATGGCCATTCAATTTTGGTAGCAATAAGAAAAAGTTGATGTCTTTCTGAATTAGTCTATTTATTCCCAATTTTGTTTATGGTACCAAGAAGACCAGAAATCTGTTTGTAAATTGTATCACTCCACATATTCCAATTTTGATTTTTCCCTTTAAGTATATATTACTACACGCAACACAGACACTGCACATTGTTTTAAATTCAATTTGTAAAATGTATTTACTAAAACAGTTTTGTTTGGTTTAGTGTAATTGTTTAGCTCATATGGTATTTCTATTTATTTTATTTTGCATTTTGAATGAATAATGTTTAATAACAAATGACATAATGTATGCTTGGTCGTATATTTGCAGTCTATGCGAAGAAAGGTAAATAGATAAGGAATGCTCCCTAGTAGTTATTATTAATAGTTGCTATGGTGATGGAATTTGTTGCTATAGCAATCATTTATTGCTAGGGGGATTTTATAGATGTATCTTTGAATCGTTTTTGAGCTTTGAATATTCACTGAGTGCTTTCTTATCATGTCTGAGTGAATTCTGTCCAATCTATCTTGATATGTTTCCGTATGACATGTTTTGTGACATCACACTATGTTCTATATGACATCATGTTGTCATGATGTTATGATCACACTAAATTCTATGTCACATTTAGGTGTAATCTCATGACACCACACTTAGCTATATATATGACACCTTACTGTAATATTATGACATCACTTGAACTCATATATTTGACAGTTAATTGTAAAATTTGACAAAATCTTGGATGATATCCTATGAAAAATATTAAGAAGGGGCATTTATGAAAATCTTGAGGATGAAATCATAGAAAACACTTTTGCATTGGTGAATATGTATGAGATACAGTAGGTGGGAATGGAATAAAAAAATATCAAGCATGGTTGCAATATTGGTGTTGGTGTTAAGGTAGGCGCTGGCAGAATGTCAAAACTTTAAGTATATAGGGCGTTCAAAAAGTAACAGGATTAGTGCTAGCATTTTGTTAAATTAAATATGCACCAAGTGTCTTCAAATTTTCACAAAATGTTCTTTTATGGTAGCAATATCAAAGACAATTAGTGCATATTTAATAAAATGCCAATGCCAGTTCTGTTACTTTTAGAACACCCTGTATAATCAATCAAATTATTCACTCTACTTTGCTTACCTTATAAGTCAGATTATCTATTCTACAGCGCCTACCTTAACTGAGAGGTTTGATTTGGAATGACTGGCAAGGTGTGTGTTAATGTAGGAACATTTGATTGTATGTTGTGTGATATCTTTTGCATCTTGTTGTAAAATATAGTCCCAGTGTATTAACATTATGATGAATAAATGAACCCTATTGGTACAAGTGGATGCTCTGAATGTAAAATAGTTCTTGTAGTCCATTGGGGGTTTGTCTTTATTGTGTTTTTGCCCATTTGTCTTTTAGATATCTGTAAACTAAATTGGATTTTAAAAATATTGACCAGGTGGTCTAGGTGTAGGATAATACAAAAGTTGAATTTAGAGAATATCCTTATTTATTTCAATCATAACAAATCAGAGTATTGGTGTGGGGGTTGAAGCTCCTCAAAATACTATTGGAGAAACGTCAACAATCTCTCTTTATTTCCCTTTGTGGTTTGTGGTGAAAAAGTTGGTGTTAAAATGATAGACATTTCTTTCAGTTTTCGACAGGCAATTTTGATTTGATGAATGCAAGTTCAATAAACAAAATCCATTGGGATGAAAACCTGTGAGAAAATTTCATCGCAGTCGTGTTTTAGAATTTAACTTAGAGAGAAAAGGAGAAGAATTAGCAAGGAATAAAGTAAACAGGCATGTAGTTTACACTCTAAATTGTATAGAAATGCAAGAAAACCATGGTGTTCATTCAAATATTGGAGAAAAATAGCGTGAAATATACATTATCTTGAAAAGTTTTCTTGGAACATATCACTAATTCTTGGCTGTGTTGGAATTGATCAGAACGTCCTTCACTTGTGGTTTGTGGTTAAAATATTGGTTTTCATTTGAAAAAGATTTCATTGAATTCTTGACAACTAGTTTTGAAAAATTGACATTCAATAAACTTAGATTGATTATTGGACAAATATTGTAGTTTACTGTATAAATAAAATGAAGGGCAACATTAGAAAAACAGAAGCAACCAAAACCCTTTCAAAGCATGAAAAATAGCAACATGAAGTTATTGTTTTGTAATGTTACTGACAAAATCAATGAAATGCATTACGACTGATAATATGAGAATCATAGCAGAATGCTACCATTTAGATTCATACAAAATGACTCCCTTTTGCTACTCAAATGACATATTAGTCTTGATTGCCTCTCATGCATGATGTTAGTATGACTAACTCAAATGTAACATTAAATAGTTAGTGGTTTATAAAGAAGGGTGAAATATAAGACCTCTTGGGACAAATCCATTACATTTTTGTATCAATCTTACACAGTGTTTCATGTCAATATTTGTTGAGTCATACGTCTGCTATTTCCCAGGGGCATTATGGGATTTACTCTGTCATGACAAGACATTTTGTTATCTAATTATATTCATGACAAGAAACATGCCTATCACATTAGGGAATTAATTGGTGATATGAATGATGATACACTTTTACAGAAGATGGATAATGCCAATGATAATTGTATAGTTATCATGATAACTGATTAATCAAAACTGAATTATGTATATACAATAGGTTAGAATAATACGCCATTGACTCATACATTACTTGAGATAATATGGTTTACATATATATAGAGTATATAACATTTTTCCGATATCACCATACACCATTTTTGATTTCAATTATAAAAATTTGATCATGACATTTGGTTATTTGTGAATGTGACCAAACAATGAACAAAGTACAGCAAAACTAGTAAATTGGAACACCTCTGTTAATGGTACACCTCCATATTTGGAACACTTTTCAAAGTCCTGTTTTCAGTAATGTAATACAAAAAAAACGAACCACTCGAAATTCACCCAGCAACTTGAACACTATTTTGAGTTACCAAAGGCAGTCCATTTACACAGGTTTTACTGTACAAATGAAGCATGCAGAAGATAGTCACATGACATCCATGAGAATGAATAGATTGAAGTTATATTGTCAAAAGTTCATACAGATGTACCGCATTAATAATTAAGTTATGTGATTGAGATGCCTTAAATAATGCATTTTATGGCTTACTTGGGAGAAGTAATCTAATTCTAAGCAAAAAGTATTTCACAGGCCCACATAATTACATCACTATTAATGATTTAGATTTAGATTTGGTAGACTAAGTGACATATATCAAATGCAAAATAAATTTGATATAGTTTATCAGCCTATGCTTTTCCTTTTGATATTTGATAAATTAATTTATAATTGTATTAAATCAAGTAGAATGTTTTAGTTGAGATGGTGTGTGTCATGGAATGTATTAGTTGGGATGGTGTGTGTCATGGAATGTTCATGAAATTTATTTGTTGGGGGTGGTGTGTGTCATGGAATATAATTAGTGGGGGTTGTGTTTGTCATGAATAATGAATAAAACAAAAGTTGCCAAAGCTTTATAGCTATTACATCCCATATGAAACTACATGTGAACCCATAATGATTTAAACCCATGTTCAACTGCTTCTTTCACACAGGTGCAAAATAAGATCCTGTCACCCTACCCCCATTTTCTACTCTCTACCCAGCCTACTCAGTACAGCCTCCTCCTGTTACCCTTAGCTCTCTTGCTAAGTAACAAGCTAAAACAAATGCCTCCCAAAATCCTCAATTGCTTCATTTATCTTGAGCAATCAATAATATTGACACCACTAGATTATTAAGTCTTAATACTCTGGCAGTTTCTATGATATGAACGTAAGATTTCATCTCTCGTGAATTGTGGAGATATAATGCTGACAGTTTCAGTATATTTATTTCATGTTTGAGAAGAAATACATTAATTTTTGATGAGGTTTAAAATTCTTGTGATTTTTATGATTTCTTGCTTTTTTGTTATGTTGCTTTGGGCTTTTCAATTTTATGCATAGTTTTCATTGAAGTATATTGAAAGTATAGTTGTTAGTCTAATGAATTCAATACTTTATTTTTAAATGTTTTTTCATTCTTGCTTTTATGTTGCTTTCACCTCAGCTTTTCAACAGTGTTTATTATTTTCATTTAGATGAGTTAGATTATCTAATTATAAAAATATTGACTTTCAAGTTTCTCATTTCCATGATATTATCAGATTTTTTTATTTAGTTGAATAAATTAATGTTCTTTTTGTTTGTATTTTAACTATTTGTTATTGTTCATGAACGGAAATGACAGAAATTAATATGCATTTTACCAAAGGCATGCATTTCATACATAACACATCATTATAAGTAATTTAATAAGTCTAAAATCATCAACTTCTTCATTCTTTTTTTGAAAAACATTCTTCAGTTTTTTGTAAAATTAGAGTGGAAAGTGTGAAATTATTGAGAAATACAGCTCTAAATAGGAAGTTAACATTTGCAGTTTTGATGTCCCATAATGCACCATTACCTATATGCAGCAGACGTTTTTAGGAAATGGGAAAATGCATATCTATTTGGTATTTTATTCACTGGATGACTGTCTGCTCAGTCTGTATCTCCACCCATGAATAAAATATCGCAATTCATGCCTTTTTCACATCATTTCTCTCTCAAATTTGGTAGAATTGGCTAATTTTCTGGTATTTCTAATAATTTAAAATGTTGAGTGCATGCCTATTTATGTTGTTTCTCATTTAATTCATAGTTTTTCACTCAATTTTGCATTTCATAATATGCCCAATATGATATCTTTCATGGTTTCCTGTATTATGTCATCTCAACTCTCTAACATTTATGAATTTGTTATACCTGTATATTTATGTATTAAAATTGCAGTTTCATTCTGCTAATTGAATAGAAAGCCACGGACTTAAAATATGAAAATGAGAAAAATATCAAATTTAATTAATTAATTGATTTGGATACAGAAGTTTGTATATAGTTTTGTCTTGGAATTATGAAAGACGTTGAAAAGGTACAATTGTTAAGAATTGATAATATTTTATTTGAACAAAATTTCTATATTTGTCAATGTTGCGAACTGCTTATTTGTTATTGTTGTTTTTGCAGTATCGTCAAGCTGTAAGTGGTGCCGCTGGAGTGCGGGATTCAAAACGATCATTTGCAGCATTTGGTTTTGGCAGTGGTAGAGTCACAGATGGGGAACAAAGTGCAAGTACAGGAGACTTACAAAGTAAGGTTTCTTTCACTTACACATTTATTAATGGCTGGTTCTTTTCAAAAAGAAGCATAACAAATTTTCAAATTCAAATTATCTCTTCCGGTTTTGTTTAAGCATTTAAATCTATGTCATCACCCTTTGTTCTGGTAATCAGTTTGGCGTCAGTTAGTTATAATCTCCAACTTTTTTTATTAACGGCAGTTGGTGTTTTTAGCAAATGGCAGGTAGTGATATTTTGCATGTTAATACATTGTATCAAAATGGTAATTTTTGTAACATGCATTTAAATGCCTTGTTTCATAGCGTATGTAAAATGCTCAATTTTTCATATCGTATATTTCAGATCTCTCTGCAGCTAGTCTCTCAGATAGCAACCAACAAATGAACACATTGACGCCACCTAGACGAGGATCTCAAATTAACGTCAATGTCACGCCAACATCTGCGTCAACAGTTGCATTTAGCGACACACCAGAAATACGCAAATATAAAAAGCGGTTCAATTCTGATATTCTCTGTGCGGCTTTATGGGGTAAGATGAAGATAATAAACATTCTATAATAACAATTTTTAAGTAAAAAGATCTCTTCTTTTTAGTTTATCATTGATGAATAAAGTAATATAGACCTAAATTATCAAAATATATATAAAGCTACTTTTTTAAGAGAAACTGATGGAATGCAGTGAAAATAATGTTCAATGTATACAGGTTTTACTGTACAATGAATCGTAATGTAAAAAAGTCAATAAAAAAACAGATACTGATGTAAAGTCATTATTTTGAAATGATATTAAATAAATAAATAACGATATAAAGATTGAAATGGTCCTCAATCTGTTTCTTCAGGGGTAAATCTGCTGATAGGAACAGAGAATGGTCTACTGCTGCTGGATAGAAGTGGGCAAGGAAAAGGTACATCCCATAATAATCAACATGTCCCATAATGCATTAGCACTGGCAGACGCTATTCTCTCTAATTTTGTAATCCCACTTTAGACATAATATCCTAACTATTTATGCTCACTAAATACTAAAATATACTTCTGAATTTTAAGATATCAATAAAATTGCATTCAGAATTCATGTCCATTTGCTTCACTTCTCGCACTATTTTACACTCCACACGTATATTGCATATTGACGCATAATCGTCATGACATTTCCTCTTTCCAGTTTACCCTCTCGTAAGCAGACGGAGATTTGCACAAATGGAGGTGCTCGAAGGACAAAACATTCTAGTTACCATATCCGGGAAGAAAAATAAAGTCAGGGTCTATTACTTATCATGGTTAAAAAGCAAGATCATCAAGGCAGAAGGCATTGAGAAGAGAAATGGGTGGACAAATGTCGGGGAGCTCGAGGGTTGTGTACATTTTAAAATAGGTATGTAATTTATAGTCAGTTTGTTTTGAGTATGAATCTGAATCTGAGTTGCTAGTGATTGACTTCTTGATGATATCACAAAAGAAATAATCATGTGACCAAGAATCAGGAAATAATCTTTCCCATAATTTCTCACCTAATTACTGTTTTCTGTTCAACGGTGCGATTCTGTTCACTGTGTGTCTTGTTCAACTAAATTGACTGTTTTCACTATATTTATCAAAGTGAGATGTGTATTTAGCTGCGTGGCAAAAAATGTTTTGGTTTCAATTCCATATTAGACCCTGGAAGTCATTCGTTTCATAAAGTGGAATATTTTTGGTAAATATTAAAAAATTGGTAAATTCTTTTAAATACTGTAATGAACCATCTTCTGTTTTTTATTTTATAATGTTTATTTATTTTTTCAGTAAAATATGAAAGGATCAAATTCTTGGTCATTGCCTTGAAGAACAGTGTGGAGATCTACGCATGGGCTCCAAAGCCTTATCACAAATTCATGGCTTTCAAGGTAATACATTCAGAGATTGTCGTCTGCTTGTCTGAGAGGCATTATGGGTAGTTGTTTGTCATGACAAGACATATCTATCATTGCTCTGTGCCTTGTCTTATAACTACGTAAAAATAGCTCAAGGGAGTTTTATGAATATTTTTAAATGATTTTGAAACATTTATTCACAATTGACTAAATTGCAAGCTTAAATTTATAACTTTTTGATCAGATATTTGTTTTATGGTGTTTCTTAAACCTAAAATTGAAACAAGCAATTTTGTTTTTCAGTCATTTGGTGACCTTGCCCACAAGCCAGTACTAGTTGACCTTACTGTAGAGGAGGGTCAAAGGTTAAAGGTCATATATGGATCACATCATGGGTTCCACGCCATCGACCTGGACTCAAACAGTGTATTTGACCTCTATATACCATCACATGTAAGTTGCTTAACTTTGTAAATATTTTGTAGAGAATGCATTTCTGTCACTATAAGAGAATATTTGTATAGCCAATATCATGACAAGGAACAAAGATACAAAATTGAATTTTGAATCAAGATTATTTGATATGTATAATTCAGATTCGGATTGTCAATCATTTACGAAATACGGAATATGAAGGTGATTAAAAACAAATATTCTTTCTCTTTTGTCAGTTCCGCGAACAGGTGAACATAATTCTAGTATCTCTGCATGTTGTTTGAACCAATTTATAACCAGATGCATTATGGGAATTATTGCCTCGTTTTGAGTTTGAGTTTTAGTCCTTTCATTTTTCGGATATTTTTTGATGTTGTCTTGTAAGTCGTCTTCATGTGTCTGTTAAGTTAAGGATTTTTCAGGTTAGTATTTATGAACTTAAAAAATGATTTGTACTCAAGTTGGTCGTTTAGTTATCGGTGCATTTTGTCATTGAGGGTATAATTTGATGAGAATAGTTATTAAATAATGGTTGTACTATTTGAATTTGATAATGATATAGCGAGATCAATAGTGCAAATAAACAGGGAAATAGTTCATTCATGGAACGAAGCGTGAAACTTTCCATATATCTTCCATATACATTCATCTTTGATTTAAGAGCATGAGACATTTTTTTGGTCCACTAGAACGACCAAAATTATTATAAATGCCCCCTCCCACCAAATCCTGGGGGGTGGGGGAGAGAGAATTAATTTTTATTTTTAAAAATGTGTTTAAATATGCTCATATTGCAGATTTAGCATGTTTCTTTCATAGTTAAGACAGATTGGCATTATAATAAGGTGATTTCTCATGATTTAACATTCTTAAAGCCTGACCGAGGTTGACACCCACTTTTCTTATATGGAATATATTCATTTAATCAGATCTCCATTTTCGGTCTAAGAAATAATTGCTATTCACCTTTCAGCTAGATAACATCAGATTCATTTCTTAATTATGATCTTAGGTGTTGCAATTAATCTAAGAGTTATATTGCTTAAGGTTTCGGGGTAGTTATCAGAAATTTACACCAAACAGGAAATGAAAAAACCATGTGGATTTTAGAATTGTTTGAACTAAGATACAGAGTTCTGCTTTAACCTTCTATCAGTTTTACTACTCCCATATATTATTTACATGACCAGGATCATAATGGCCATTGTCAAAATGACCCTTACCATGCTGAAATAGCTTTTTCAGCCCTCTGAAATTGTGACTGAGAAAAAGTTAAAAGTTAGCACTTACGAAAGGTCACTGAACAGAATATATTGAATTTTTCAGAAAATGTGCCCATTATATTATTCTGTTCACTGACCTTTTAGAAACACTAACTTTTTACTATTTTCAGTCACATTTTCAGAGTACTGAAAGGGCTATTTCTGCATGGACAGGGTCATTTTGACCATGACCATTGTGATCCTGGCAATGTAAACGATATATGGGAGTAGTACAACTGACTGAAGATCAAAGCAGAACTCTGTTATCTTACTTCAAAAAATTCTAAAATCCACATTATTTTTTCATTTTCTGTTTGGTTAAAGCCTTTATGTCATATTTTTTTTATTGTTAGAAGGAATGGATGAGAACAAGATGCAAGCTTTTAAATAACCTTTAAGTCTTATAAGCAGATTCCTTCCTGAAAGTGACACACTTTAACCAGAACCAGAAGGGCCACAGAGTGACAGTTTCAGTACATTCATCTGAAGAAACCTATGCTACATATACATCTGTTGAGAATCTTGACAATGGAATACCTAAAGAGTTTGATGATTGGTGTAATGCCCAACAGCATGTACCAGTTTTCAAGTTTTGGTTTCTAGTTATTCAAATTGAACTCCTCTGCCTTAACTATGTGAGGGCTATCGGAAAACTTCCCCTTTACCTCCAATCAATAATCAAGCTTCTCCCCTGTTTTTTCATTTTTGACCACTCCAACTATGCTCGATGGGTTCCAGTACATCTAAGGGATATGGTACAACTACAAGAAAAACACCCAGAGATCTATGAAGCCTTCCTGAAGGGCCACTTCACTGTGAGTAAATTGAGACGAAGCTTTTCTGCCACAGCCATAGCAATCGATCAAGCCCATGAGAAGAAAAACAATCTCGTTAAATCAGATGGCGGAGCAGTGGGGCTCTTTGATAACCAGACAGCTCTACAGAAGTGGATGGTTGGAGGGCCTGAATTAGCCAGACTGATCACTGAGTTTGAGAATAATATATTTGATGATCAAGATGAGGACCTATGTAATCATGAACAAAGCAAAAGTATTCAACAAAAGTTCATCAAAAGAGACATCAACAGACTTGTACTTAGACAACAAAGAAGTTGTATCATCAACACCGTTATATGAAATGCAGCAAGCTGGCCAGGATTAGTACACATTGTACATTAAAGAAAGACTGGTTGACAGAACAAACCCTTTAGCAGACACTATAAAGAGAAACAACTACAAAATATTTAAAGAACAGAAAACAAAGATGAATGTAAACAAGGAAACATTAAAAAATGACTGTGCCCATTTCTCAAAATGACAAATAAGTCTGACATTCTCAAACCATGAGAGAAGCTACCCACTGGAAATCAACAAGTTGAGTGCCCACAGGTAGAGGCATTGTTCCTTGATGGTGCAGCCATTGCGCACCTTTTGAAACTCCAACAGGCCAAAATATTCCAACAGTACTCAGATCATGTGTTCAATGAATAGAAAACGATATTTCTTCCCAGCTAGCAAAAGTGGAACGACTAGACATTGTGTGGGATCAGTACCTGGAAAACAGTTTAAAACTATCAACCAGACAGAAAGGAGGAAAAGGCAAACAACGCCTAGTGGAACCAAATTCACAATCTCAAAATATGGATAGCTTTTGGAAATGGGAAAAATTATCCAACTCATGAAGTGGCATACTTCCCTTGGACTTAACATTAGGCCACTTGTCTCCCCTTATTTCATGCCCTCACTGGTTAAGACACCACATCTTAATTCCATGGTAAATTCAAAACAACAGCATGGAAACAATGGAATGCTTATCCCGAATTGACAAATGCCCAATTTTGGCTGAAGATCCAAATAAGTTAGCCATAGTTATGCCAATCATTGAACCTTTCATTGTTATTTTATACAATACAGAAAGCAACAAAACAACTATAAATGCTGCAAGACAAGAAATGTTCATGAAGAAAACCACACAAATTGAGAACATTTCCCCAACATTAGACGCTTTAGAGCAGCATATTAAGTGTGTCATTTAACAGGCAGTATGTATGGGGGCAGTCCACTATAGCCATCCCAGTTATTCCATCACCCTTACAATGGGGTTGGGAATCAATCAACACCAAGACTGGAAAAATGATTTGGGTTCCAATGTGGAAGACACTACCCCAAGCCTCAGATGCTTTTAAAAATGCATTTGGAAGCAACAATGTTCAACTAAATGCTGCAAGTGCTTTAAAGCCAATCTCCAATGTACCACCCAGCGTTTGTGTAATGGGGAATGTGAACATTAATTGATAATGGCATATATAATACTTGAGTGCATACAGGTACTTAAAAAAGTAACTGATCAACTAGTCAGAGAGTGCTTTCATTAAAACAGAATCAATTTATATTTGTGATTAACACATTATATCTTAATCACTAAAAGTGGGCGTGGCCAATAACAAGCCTTTAACAATAGAATTGTCTTTCTTATAGCATATATTATATAAATATCATTAACTGATTTATCCTTATCCATTTTGTTCAGCTAAACTAGGTTACTTTCCTATTCATAACCAGAAGATTCATTCACTTGCATACTTAACTTGTTGATAATATGGGCGTCGCCCCCAGTCAGACTTTAACAATGGATATCCATGAGAAATGCTTATGTAATCTTAGTTATTATTTTGAGCATACTAAAAGCATACTAAAACTGCAATATGAGTATATTCAAACATATTTTTAAAAAGAAAAAAAATTCTCTCACCCCCACCCCCAGGATTTGGTGGGGGGAGGGGATAACTGTAATTTTTTTATCGTTCTAGTGGACCAAAAAAATGTCTCATGCTCTTAAATCAAAGATAAATGTATACTGATGATATATGGAATGTTTCACGCTTCGTTCCAAGAATGAACTATTTTGACACTATTTATCTCGCTAATACAATATTTTGGGGCTTTGGGAAGGGTAAAAATAATTGCTCACCACCGTACTAACGCAACATTGACTTGTCTTTGTTTGTCATAACATTTTGAAAATGTCAAAGTTATTATTCACCATAATTGTTTTTAATCCTGTTGCCCATTTTCCTTCCACCCAGAATCCAACAAAAATATTAATCCACTTTGAGGTGAATAAAAATGATATCCTATGATATGCCTGATGTTGTTAATTCATGTAAATAATGTCATTATTTTAATGCTATATTATTAAGTTCCTATTTTGCAACTGTATTATCCTAGTATCTTCAGTTCCCTAATTTGGAGGCATTTTATGCAACATTGTTTTCCTAGCATTAATAGTACACTTTCTTTAATAGTTAGTCTGTTGTTTCCTTTTGTAAGTTTACAATTTCAAGTCACTAAAAATTAACACTAGGCCACAAAAAGTAGATCTTCTGGTTAACAGTCCATTATAAATTAGGCCACAAAAAGTAAATTTTCTGATTTCTGAGAATTCTGAAAATTATCTTTTCTTATGTTCAAATCTCTGCATACTAAAACATTTGTTTAATATTGAATGATACGTTAATTTTGTGTACATAATTTAAATATGTAATAAAAAAAATAAAAAGTTTGGTTGATAAATAGTTTAAAGTGATACTTATAGTTGATTGATACTCTCATGACACACCAAATGTAAATAAATCTAATGTAATGTCATGAGTAAGTTGACCAATCATCTATCAGAATGTATTCATTTTGAGTTGATATATATCAACTTGCATGTATAATTTACACAAGTTGTTATTTTGCCACCGAAAAATTGTGCATCTTGTCTTCAGTCTCATGAAATTACATATTTTCAGAAAAATAAAAAATAATATTGAATATTATAAAGGGAGTAAATATTTCCATATTGTTGCCAAATTTGTTGAATTTTTCAAAAATCACCTCAAAATGCCTTGTTCATTCCTTGCCAATTTTGTATTTTCTTGACTTAAATCCTTTTTTGAGTTTTTGTAAATGAACATATCTCCATTATACATGTATTCTGTATTTCCAAGGCAGTTAAATGCCTTTTTGGCAGTGATGTTTCCATGACAACAAGGCAGCAATATGTTTATTTTACTCTGTATTTCCATGGCAGTGGCATGTTTCCATGGCAGCGCAAGTTTATGTAATTCTGTATTTTTACAGACACAGACCCCCATAGTACCACATACAATAGTCATTATACCAAATACATCAGGAATGCAGCTCTTGCTATGTTATGACAGTAAGTACATTTCACCATTATTCTTCTAGGGGTTATTAAAGAGGCATGTTTTCTCAAATACTCAAAATCACAGATATTTTGGTCGCAAATAAAATCCTTTAGAACCTACATATGTAGATCAACAGATATATCTGTCACCGAATTTTTATCTAAAACTGCTCCAACTTTAAAAATGTTTATCCTATCTACACAAATTATGTAAAATTTATGGGTCCATGTTTGCCATTCTTACGAAACCAAACATCACAGATTATACTGTATATTGAGATTGTAAATGTCAAAAATTTGCAAAAGATTAAAAATGTTCTGGTTTTAAACCCTGGTATTCAAGACATTTTTTCTAATTGCTGTATCACTTTAAGACTCCTACCTTTTATCTCGATTCAACCTTGAGTTGGAAACTTAAGAATTACATGTTCACCTTTGTTTCTTCTTTTGTATGCCATTATACCTAACATGCCTTATTTCTGTAGACCAAAAAGTCAATTGAGAAATGAAGATTCTCATGAATTTGGTTTGTTAAATGTAAATAGAATTATATTCATTAAATTCTAAGTATTAAATCCTGCAATGATTTTAGATGAAGGAGTGTATGTCGACTCAAATGGAAAAATCTCAAAAAATGTTGTCCTGCAGTGGGGTGAACAACCGACATCTGTGGGTAAGTTATACTTGGAGTTGTACATTTTGGTAAAGATAGTTTATCTCCTACTAAATTGAAACAAGTTGGCATAGTATGTTTTGGTATTCAGTATATTTTGGAAGCTAAAAATGCCTTTTAAAAATATAACGTTAATCATTGGTATTATTAATTTATTATCATATTATTACAAATGTATGAATGAAACTATAGTCACATTTGCTCTGCGATGGCCAGCCATAGCTTCATATAATCGATATAGAAAATCTACATCGTACTGCTTATCCCTATATTTGATGCTGCATATTTCTCTCGATTTTGGGAAGCTACGGCCACAGTATAGTTGCCGTAGATCAAATGTTACTGAGGCATTACATATAATTTCTGTATTCCAATATCAGTGACATGTCTTATACGTATGTTTGTTTATTTTTCAGCATTTATCAGTACAGGCCAAATCATGGGCTGGGGAAACAAAGCCATAGAAATCAGAGCTGCGGAGACGGGACATTTGGACGGAGTATTTATGCATAAAAAGGCACAAAAGCTCAAGTTCTTATGTGAACGAAATGACAAGGTTAGTGTAAGAAGCAAGTAAAGCAGGCACTCCCATAGCTAGGGCCAAAAATTCTCTCAAAATCATGCAGTTTTCGCCATTCTTAGCACTTTCAAAGTGAATTGGGGTTTTCACCATTCTGAGCACTGTTCAAGTGATTTTAGGCCAAAATTGTCAATTTTGAGCCCCCCTGGATTTTTAAAATGGTGAGCCCCCCCCCCCCCCTTGGCAAAAGCTGATAGCAATCCTGTAAAGTTACAATGAATAAATATGTTGTGTGTTTATTTCAAGTATGAGAGAAAAGATAACAACATAGATCATGTTTTGAAATAAATGCAAAATAGAGGGAAAAAGTGGATCTAACAAGGAATAAAGTAAACAGAAAATCTGGACAGTTTGACAAGCATCAATGTTTTATCATTGTTGATTATAAAAAAAATTCTGTATATAGCCATAATCAGAGTTTATGTAGCAATTATTATCTTTAGTGTGTGAAGTAGGATATCCCAATTTACTTTATTCCCCACTTTTTGTACCCCCTGTATATTTTCTTTCATGATTTGTTTAATAAAGGACGCTCTTTCTGTATTTGCAGGTATTTTTCTCATCAATACGTGGAGGCTCCTCCTGTCAGATATACTTTATGACTCTCAATAAACCCGGCATATCAAACTGGTAGAAAACATAGAATTAATGTATATAGAAAAAACATAGGAGGAAACATGTAGGAGAAAATACATGGTGAAATACATATGAGGAATTACACAGGAGACAATGGAGAGATTATATAGGAGAAAATTCAGGGGAGGAATATCTAGGAGAAAATTCAGGGGAGGAATATCCAGAAAAAATTCAGGGGAGGAATATCTAGGAAAAAATTCAGGGGAGGAATATCTAGGAGAAAATTCAGGGGGGAATATCAAGGAGAAATACATAGAAGATAAATAATACTCCAAGGAGAAAATACATAGGAGAAAATACAAAGGAGGATATAGGAGAAACTGTATAGGAGCATATAAGAGAAATTACACAGGGGATATACTTACTATTACATGGGATTAAATGCCCTTAGGACTAGTTATTATATCATGGCACATAGATTCTTCAAAGTGGCTCACTAAAGATATTAATCACTATGAAGCCATTTGGACAAACAATATTTGAAGGAAAATTTTCAAAGGACATTGCCTTCCTATTGTTTTGCCACCACCACAAGTGGTGACATATTGTTATGCCATCACCACAAGTGGTGACATATTGTTATGCCATCACCACAACTTTTTTGTGGATGGTGTTCAGCATTTGGTGTCTGGTGTTCGGTGTTCTGAGTTCAATGTCAGTATCAAATGGCAGGTGGTGACATTTTGCATGTTAATACCTTGTGGTGGTTATGCTTAATACAATTGTGATAATATGGATTTTTACAGTACACAGTGATCTCCCCAGTATTGAAGCAAGTTGGTGTGGCACCCACTTGAGATTTTAGAAATAGGCCTACACCCACTTGAAAAACCCTAAATTCCCACTTGGAAAAATCCTGAAAATTTGTATACTTTTTTGACAGAGTTGTAAAAAATGTAAATTTTACACCCATATGACTAAAATCCTAGGAAATAGAAAACAACAACAAACATATAGGATCTCAGAACTTAGATTTAAAGTGAATATAGACGAAACATCCCGTGTGTGATTTTGGAAAATAGTTTAGTGGAATTAAATTGATTCTATCAAAACTAAGATTATGTAATCGGACCATAGGCTGAGGAAATGATTATTTTATTGGTTTGTTCCTTGGTCAAATGTACTGTAGGTTTGTGTACTTATGTTGATGGAATAAAGTGACGTTTTTTCCATAGCAAAAAAGTTACTGAAAATATACCATACATGTACTTTGGAAATTTTAATTTTCATTGTGATTTCACCACTGAGACTCATTTTTGTCATTTTAAATGCTGCATTGTATTTTTGTTTGAATTGTATTATTATTTTAGCAGTAACAGTTCTAAAATGTATAATTTGTATAAATGTATATAGTTTTTATACACGTAAGCAAGGTGCTATTCTTTTATTTGTAAGATGTTATGACGGCCTTGAATTTCCATGTGAAAGTACTTTTCAGTAGAATGCTGAATCTCAATAAGGGAATGGTGACCATTTATGTCAAGTTGTTGAAAATGAAATTAATTTCTATAAAGTTTGACCCCCCTTATACCTTGGTCACATTTGCTCCGATTTTCACTACGGCGCCCGGCCGATTGAGTATTTTGTTCAAAATTGAATACAATATTGAACGAAACACTCAATCGGCCGGGCGCCAGCCGATGGATCAAAGCAAATGTGACCCAGGCATTACTGAACGTAATTTTACAATGTTGATCATCTTTCACAAAACAAATTTACACCCTTCAAAGAACATCATTCCCCCCCCCCTAACAAAACTAACTTCGTAATTCTACAACTGTTGGTAACTAGACACCATCCCTAAAGGGCCTAGCCTTTCTGTTCAATTACAGTTAAAAATTGGCATTTTTTCATGGAACTTTGCCCTGTTAGACTGCCACTACACTGTGTTAAAGAGAAAAAGGAGAGAAACAGATAGACCGTCTTAATAATTTTACTAGTTGTATCACGTTTTAGTTTGAAAAGCAACCGGTTTAATCTGTTATTTTATGATTATTTATTTTTGGCTTCCATTTTATGTGAAACAACTGAGTAGTGTTGCTTTTGTAAACATGTTTTGTTATTATCTACTGTCACATACAGATTTATCAACTTGATGTTGCATTTTTCATTAGCTGATGTCATGTTTGTCATTAGCTGATTTGTTTTTGTCATTAGCTGATGTCATGTTTGTTGTTAGCTGATGTCGCATTTGTTATTAGCTGATGTCATGTTTGTCATTAGCTAATGTTGCATTTGTCACTAGCTGATGTCATGTTTGTCATTAGCTGATGTCATACTTGTCATTTGCTGATGTCATATTCGTCATTAGCTGCTGATGCCATACTTGTCATTAAATGATGTCATATTTGTCAATTGCTGATTCACATATCTGATGTCGTAACATATGTCATTAGCTTGGTTAACACTTTCCATAAGCTGGGGTCACATTTCTCATACATTGCTGTCACATTTCTGAAGATGGTGTCACTTTTGTTATGTCCTAGTGTCACCTTTGATATTAGCTGATGTTAGTTTCTCATTAGCTTCAGTACTTTTGATAACATTTGTAAATATTTTGTCTTGTTTTAATGCAAGAAAGTTTGATTGACAGCTGTCAAAGGAGGTGTTACACTCCCAGTTTTACCCATAATGCACTTTTATATTTAGGTCACATGGTATGTTCACATGTAACCTTGGATGAAAATCTTATTTTATATTGTGACTAAAACTTGATAGAAACATAGTGGTTTGTAACTCATTGCAGTCAAAAGGTTCAAATAGCACCAGCAAATTTTAAACATTGAAATGTGTAAAAATTGTAAAAATGTGCAATATTCAGAATTGTGTATAAACTTTATATGCAAGTGTGCTTTTAAAAAGTGACAATATATTACATTATATATAAAATAATTACAATGTTTTGTGGAGTTATTTTTATTAAAGTATTAAGGAAGGTTTATAGAGAGTTCTTTAGCCTCTTATTTATGGTACCTTATATGGAAGACCCCATTATAGATTATACTCGAGGGATAGTGTCTGAATGTTGACAGTTGACAGATAATTATGCTTTGGCTTAACACATCTTCTCCCCTATATACTAGTATCCAAATTTGATAATAGAGATAGAATCCTTTTTATTTAAAAAATAAAAAAATTAAATTTCTTGTCTGCTATGGGGATTTTCACAATTAATCCCACTAGATCTAACTAATAATAATCACTTTCCTATATAAGTATGACAAATAAGTGACCTCATTGGTAGCTTTAGATGAGATTTCAAATAGAAAATATATGTGTCAGCTACAGGGTGGTAAAAAACACAACCCTGCCGCTATTTTCCTCATATCTTTTTTTATCTAAATTACTCCCTGATATGTGGCAAATTTGTACCATATTAATTTCATACCATCCAATCATATTTCATAACCGTCAGACTGACTGTAGCAATATAACAGGACTTTAAACAACATGCTCCAGTGGCCATTATTGCACTATAGGCAAACATGCATGTGTCGTCCTAAATGTCCCTACCTGACCTCTACCTGTGGGGATACCCAAAAGACAGTGTACGAGAATGACCCCAGGACAATTGCAGACCTCAAAAGGGAGTTCATCTGTGACATTCAAGCCATACCTGCAGAGCAATACCAATAATAGTTAGGCCTACTCCCTTGCGGCTCCCTTGTCAATGTCCAGATGTTGGTCTGTCATGTTTACTCATTGGATTGCATAGGACCATGTTAAATATCTATAGCAAGAATATTTTTTCCAGTTATAGCTAGAACTACATTTCCTTTGGCGATTCCATTAAAGTACAGCGATCTCAGGCCCGGATATCTTAGAATTTTCTTCTCCATCTCAAAAATTCATCCAGCTCTATTGTGCTCTACACTTTTAAACATGGCTTAATTACTTTGGGAGAGCATAAGGAATATTCAACGAAGAGATTGAAAACATGGCTAAATTACTTTGGGAAAGCATAAGGAATATTCAACGAAGAGATTGAAAACATGGCTAAATTACTTTGGGAAAGCATAAGGAATATTCAACGAAGAGATTGAAAACATGGCTAAATTACTTTGGGAAAGCATAAGGAATATTCAACGAAGAGATTGAAAACATGGCTAAATTACTTTGGGAAAGCATAAGGAATATTCAACGAAGAGATTGAAAACATGGCTAAATTACTTTGGGAAAGCATAAGGAATATTCAACGAAGAGATTGAAAACATGTCTAAATTACTTTGGGAAAGCATAAGGAATACTCAACGGGAAGAGATTTTTACAAATCAATCTTGTCAATGATCAGGTCAATAAACACTCTCATGGCCTGTTACGCACAGTAAGCATGTGCGTACCAAATGAATTTGAAAAAAAAGTTTAAAATGTGTTAAAATACATTAATTTATTTGCACATTTATTGATGATGATGATGAACAGAATAGAACTATTTAACAGAATAGAACTATTTAAAGTTGATAAAAAACGCTCAGATAGCATCAAATAACGTCTTTGAAATTTAAATCAGACATACCTAAGTGGGCATACCAACTCAAAATATAGCCCCACACCCTCTGTAAAAACTGTCCTGCGCTCAAAAAATTGCACATTTGTCTCACTTTCCCTAGAAATCAGTAAGTTAACTGTCTCTCTCATGCTTAAAGTTAAGCTCCAGAAATTAAATCAATAAACTACAAATAAACTCCTTCTATAGCCTAACACCCCTCTACGTCGAATGATGCGCCCCATACCCCCTGTGTGTTTAAATGGAATGGACCAGAATCAACCAATCAGTGCAGATTTCAATAATTACAAATTTCGTTTGCCGTCGTACGCAAACCGAGTTGATTTGCGTATTTAGTTCAGAGGTCATCCAGCAGCTGTCACCACTTGTCCTCTTACGAAGAACCGAAGCACATACAAAATGACTGAAGGGTAAGCTCCTATTTTACAATACTTTTCTGTAAGATCTAGCTATAATACACATTAAAACTTATTACAAATGTATTGCACACATACTAAGGAACAATTTACTATAAAAATTTTGAATAAATTATCGATACTTATTTCGGAAATAAGGTTGAAAATATTATTGATTTTTCGAACCCACGCCGCTTCCATTTCTCACGTGGCCATTAATTTGTACTATTTTCCCGCCATCGTTTTTCGTGGTTACTGCGCTTAATTTCAACATAATTTCAGTTCCTATGCTTTCAAGTTATTAATTTAATTCATCGATTGTGAGACAAGTGGGGAATTTATTGTTCATAGTGGAAAATTAGGCGAAAATAACGATTCGGGAAATTAGGTCACGTGACCTGTTTCCTGAAAAATCCTTTGTTCAAATGAAGAACATCTACTCATCATATATCGTTTGCTGGTATTTAGTACAATTACTTGTGATCGAAGACGACAATATTTGCAACATGAGACTTTTAATACTTCTTCACTATCACAGTTGAGAATTTCGGTGGTTTTTGAAATTCTTTAGGCTTGTTGGTGCTTTCATAGCAAATTCAATATTCTTTTGTAAGATTGACATCCTAGCACAGTAATATAATTTTATCACTAATATACACTACATTGGGATTGATTTTATTTCCAGATGCAAAATTTTCTGTGGGGGTCTGCCATGGCAAGCCAAACAAGGTAAGTAGTAAAACTTAATTCAGTGAAGAGTGTCATATGGGTAAAAGGAAATTGGAGAAACATTGTTCTGGCCTATGGCCATGCTTTGAGATACATCAAGATTTTGCTTTGTTCTCAGTTTCCTATGGCAGGATAAGGAAATTATAATTTAATTACTAGTAATAGCTGTGATTGTGTTGTTTGTATAGGTAATTAGCTTATTTGCAAGATGCCTAATTATGCAGTCAGCTTGGTAGCACAAAGACAATAAAGGAAACTGTGTTAATTGGCTTATTATGCAGTGTGGCTTCAGTATATTGGCTTATTTTATTAGCTTCACCATGTGGCACTGTTTGAAATAGACCCTGAATGACTATTTATGAAATAATTTGATTTATGAACTGAATGAAGTTGAAAGCTTTGAAAAGGAGTTTGAAATTGGTGCCTTAAAGCTTAATAATAGTAATATTTGAATGGAGCAGAATAAAATATTTTGTCGTTTCTGGAACATGATTTGAGCATTGTGCGAGGTCTTCATTTTCCACTCAACTTTATGTTGTAGAAAAGAAAGAACACTCAATGTTAAACATTTGAATCTACACAGTGTTATTTTCTCCAACAAATCTTTTACTGTAATAACTGGATAACTGAATTTTCTGTCCTGTAATAAGGCCAGAGTGCACTTTGGATTTTTTGCAATTTTGAAATGTAAGCCACTGAATATTCTAGTTATTCAAACATTCTGAAGAATTATCTCCCTTAATTAAAAGTCTAGGCACACTAATGCATCTTTTGTGCAATGAAATTTCATCATAGTGTACCCCAACCTTAAACTTGTTTATGTTATATATACTGATAGTTATTTATAGTATTTGTTGGTGAATTGACTGTCAGCAAGGGAAAGTCCACTTAGTGCACTTAGTCCACTAATCATTTTTTCTTGGTTTCTATCGTTTGCTTTGCTCTAAATTTACATGTTTTTTGTAACTTCCACCTTGTATTGAATTGGCAACCATATACTTAAAAATTAAATGTTGTGAATTTCACTTTGCAGAGGACCTGAAGGCCTATTTTGGCACATTTGGCGAGATTGTTGACTGCAAAGTGAAGACCAATGAAGAGGGAAAGTCAAGGGGATTCGGATTTGTTACATTTGCAACTCCCGAAGCCTGTGAAGCAGTAAGTTTCAATTTACCAAATATATACAGGGTGGCCCAAGAGAAGGTTTAGTTGGTTTCCGGACAACTCGGACCCAGGACAAGTCGGACCCTGGACAACTCGGACCCAAGACATCTCGGACCCAAGACATCTCGGACCCAAGACATCTCGGACCCAAGACATCTCGGACCCAAGACAACTCGGACCCAAGACAACTCGGACCACTTTTTAAAATAATGATTTTTATCATTGTTTAGGGTTTTTAGTCTTTGTTTTATGCTTATTAGATATATTGTACATTGTGAATACATATTTTGTACTAATTTGATTAAAATGTTTTAATTTGACTTATTTGATAAAGATTAAGTAGAAGCTACTGAAGCTATAAACCCAAGACAACACAGACCACTTTCTGAAATGTTAGTTTTTGTTAGATACTTTTTTGGTTTCATAATATGGGATTATTTATAAATGTTTAGCATGACACGGTTTAGATATATTGTGAATCTATATTTTGTGTTTACATGTAAAGATGAACAAGATGTTTCAATTAACTTATTTGATGAGAGTTGAGAATACAACTTGTTATATGGAGGTATCAATGAGTCTTTTCATACAGTTAATACCAACTCATTTGGAAAATCACTAAGGAATTGAAACAATAATAATTTTAATCCTAATCTCATTATCTCATTTACACTCACCACCGTGTGGTCTTATTAATTTTATTAATCTCACTGAAAGACCTATGTCACATAGAGATCAATGGAAACTTAAAATTCTGTAAATCCTCAAACTTAATCTCACTGAAAGATTGATGCCGTATTGAGATCAATGAAAGAGTTTGTATTCTGTTAATCCTAAAGTTTTTTGATAATTTAATCTTAATCTCACTGAAAGATTGAGTAATGTGTTTGTATTCTGTAAATTCTCATTTTTATCATTTAATTAAGAAATATAGACTGAACGTCAGTCGTTATATGGACGAATAAACCCCGCAGGGCTAGGCATGAACGCGTTCTGTACCCAAACTGGCCAAAGGGAGTGAGGGGTCCGAAAGCTTTTGTGCCTAGCCCTAAAGGGTTTATGGGTCGATATAATACCTGTTCTGATATTACGATCCGAACATGAAAACTCACCAAAATATTAAGTTGATTTAAAACAATTACATCAAATGAACACAATATTTGAATTCACAATATGTATATACGAGTATGTCATACTAAACATAAAATAAATAAAAACCATATAATGATAAAAATCATTATTTCAAAAAGTGGTCCAAGTTGACTTGGGTTTTTAGCTTTAATATTTTCTTCTTAATTCTCACCAATTAAGTTGATTTTAAACGAATACATCAAATTAACACAATGTTTGAATTCAGAATATGTATAAAATGTCAGACTAAACATAAAATAAAAAAAATAAAAACCATATCATGATAAAAATCATAATTTCAAAAAGTGGTCCGAGTTGTCTCGGGTCTTTAGCTTCAATATTTTCTTCTTAACTACCATCAAATAATAAGTTGATTTAAAACAATTTCATCAAATTAACACAACATTTGAATTCAAAATATATATAATATGTCATACTAAACATAAAATAAAAAATAAAAACCATATCATGATAAAAATCATAATCTCAAAAAGTGGTCCGAGTTGTCTTGGGTCTTTAGCTTCAATATTTTCTTCTTAACTACCATCAAATAATAAGTTGATTTAAAACAATTTCATCAAATTAACACAATAAATGAATGCACAGTACATAATATATGTCATCTAAACATAAAACAAAAATTAAAACCCCATATTATGATGTAAATATCATCATTTCAAAAAGTGGTCCGAGTTGTCTTGGGTCCGAGTTGTCTTGGGTCCAAAATGTCTTAGGTCCGAGTTGTCCAGGGTCCGAGTCGTCCTGGGTCCGAGTTGTCCTGGGTCCGAGTTGTCCAGTTACCGTTTAGTTGACAAAGAGATGGCTGAATTACTGTAAAACTACTTTGGGTCACCCAGTATCTTGAATTAAGATTATCTTCCTGTCTTTGTATTCATTGTTTGTATCCAGTTTTATGTATTTTCTCAAAAGTTTTACCACAAATAATGTGTCAAAAATGTAAAGTTAGACTCCCGAAAAGCTATTAGACTCCGGAGCAAGAGTGTCTTAAGACTAAAAGCCTAATATGAGATACATGTTAATCATAAAGTGCAATTTACACCAGAACTAGTAGCATTAACTTTGTTGTGGCCATGTATGGTGGTTGGCGCACAGAGTCTAGCAGTGGTCTGCATCTGGAACAAATGGCAGGTGGTGTCATTTCCGTGTTAATGCCTTGTTTATTCTTTTTCTTAATAGGCCATGGCACAGAAAGTTCACACCATGGAAGGTCGAACTATCAACATTGACAAAGCCAAGGTGCCAGAAAACAACAGAAAAGTATTCTTAGGTGGACTACCTCCAGAAATCTCCAAAGAAGACCTAGAAGAACATCTTAAACAATATGGCGTGGTAAGCTCTTGACGTCTTAAATATATAAATATCAGTTGGATGCAGTTATTTGAAATCTTACTGCTTGTACAATTTTGAGTTCAAATATATGTATCGAGGAGATAAAATGCTCCATGTTGTGATGTGGATCATCAGTCAGTGTGGTACACAGCATTTGTATAACTCATTGAAGCAAGCTTTTTTCAAAGTGCATAATTGTATGTTTATTGTTGACATAACTTTCATTCACCTGCAACGAGGCCGGTTTACCAAGGGCAGTATGTTGTAATGATACTGTACTGTGCAACTGGGCCAATATTATCAGATCCATTTACTTTTACCTGTGTCTAGTATTGTACCTTTCACAGGCTCTGCACGATGGAAACAATCATTGTAAATTTAAGTTCAAGGAATTGTTTCTGAAGGTGTCTTGTAGCATTTTAATGAGTATTTTTATTCCATGAATATTTTACAGCTAACATATTTAGATAAATATTTTTCTTTCCATTCCTAGATTTCAGAACTTACTCTTCCATACGACAACTTGAAGAAATGTAGGAAAAACTTTGGATTTGTCCTGTTTGAACTTGAAGAGAGTGCCAAAGCAATGTTAAACAACCCACAACAAAATATCTGCGGGAAAGATGTAAGTATTATTTCTTGTTCTAGTAAAGATCTTGCCTATGATTGAAGTTTTTTCTTTGCAGGTACATCTTGCAAGGCATTCTCATCTTCATCTTAAGTTAATTGGAAATAATAGAAAACATGAATTGCTAGATTGATGGATGTTTTGAGAAATGTACCACTGATAAAGATGCAGTAGTAGTATTAACATTTTTATGTCACCACCACAAGTGGTGACATATTTGTCACCACCACAAGTGGTGACATGTTGTTATACAGTCTCCAACTTTTTTGTGGCCAGTGTTCAGCATCTGTAACAAATGGCAGGTGGGGACATTTTGCATGTTGATGCCTTGTTAATCTATGTTATTATTGAGATGCAGATCTATGTGTTAATGATTTTAATCCTTGTATTTACAATTCTTTTATTGTTGAAACATGACAAATATTTGTATCTCACATTGCCATAAATCATGTGTAGCTTTTAGTCGTCAGATCCTGATTTTAGTGTTAATTGTCAATGTCATCATTTTAATTCTTGCTGCCATTTTGATGTATTTTATCACTTAAATATGGACTCTAGTTTTTGGTAAATTAGAATGGTGACAGTTGTTTTGAGTAAATAACCACATATCGCTGAACTTTATATCCTATATTTCTCGAAATAGTAAGTATCACTTGTATATAATCCATCCAATTTCTGGGAAAGCTCAGTTTAAGTGTTTTATCTAGAATCCATGTTCACTTTTCCACATACTTGTGCCAATGCAGCTAATAAAGGTAACCATTTGTTGATTTGAATCTGAGCAATACTCTCATCCTGAGATTTGAGCAACATCTTTATCCTAGGATTTTCCACGTTCAGGGATTAACATTTGTTGCTTTGTACTCTCATCAGGTGTCGCCGGGCGAGGGTGGCTGACCTTTGACCTGGGAGACGGGTAAAAGGCAAGCACAAAACACGACGGTATGGTGAGTATAGAACCGTCAAACCCCATGCAATGGTCAAAAGGAACTCGAACCAATCATACTCCTGAAATGTTATATGTAGCGTATTGAACTATTTTACATACCATGTCAAGTAATCTTCAATTTTCAATTTCAAGCCAGCTAGCCAAGGTCATAGGTGAAAGGTCAAAGCAGATGGTCATGTGCCAGTTACTTCCAATCCAACCTTCTTTTATCTGTTTCATTCTGTTACCATGGCAACAGATTTCATGAAACTATTTACTCTTATATTTTATATAATATCTTGCTTCCATCAGTGACTCTACTGTTTGTTGCTGTTCGTTTCCATAGTGATGTTGCCATGACCTTTGTAAATATTTGATTTATAATTTAATCACATGTTACTATGGTTACCTTCGTAATTGATCAATTTTGTCATATTATGGTGTTTAGATTTCGGTTCCAAAATTTTTCTTGCTTCATACAACAATTCTGTTTGAAGTATAAAATTCAACTAGACTAAGGGTATTTATCTAAACAGTTGCACTTCTGTTTATATGTATTATCAAATACCAAAACATTTTAATATTCATGGTTAATAAAGTAAAGCTGTTGTTATTTCAAGAGGCCTGAAACACCATAATATATCATGTGACAACTAACCATCTATTCAGCACTTATTTCTATCATATAGTTAATTCATGACAGCTTCCTATTAAAGATGAATGTGCCAAGGTACTCGGAGATTGCTAGATTTACCACTTCCATTTCACTTTCAGCAGGTTTATCCAATTCATATGAATGAATCATGCACTAGTTTCATGTCACATGATCTATATCATATTTTGATTTATTTAGCAACTTGTTTTCCTGAATGTCCAATGTGAAACATGAAGAGACTATTGCTCAACTTGAAGTTCACTATCTTGCAAACATAATTTTGCAACAGTGCTGTCATGAATCCAAAGATAAGGCAGGCAACAGTGAAATCAGAAAGTCTAGAAAGGCAGACAATGAAGGCTCTATTGTATTATGTCATCATACTAACTGTGAGTTACTGTTCTAGGTTGAGGTGAAGAAAGTGACCGGAAAGAAGAATGATGCTGGGTTCGGTGGTGGATTTGGCGGCGGTCGAGGTGGATTCGGAGGACGAGGTAAGTTATCTATTGCATTTTTAGGATTTGTCTGAAATACTAAACTGATTTTATTTTATATTTTAAATAATTCTGAATTGCTAGACCACCAAACCCAGTAATATTAATAATTATATGCTGAAAAATTGTGTATGTTATATTGGTGTATTGTTTTATTGTACAGTGAATCCTGTGTATATTGAACATTTTTTGTTGAGAAAAAACATTCACTGTTGGTAGGTCTTCACAAAAGCGAGAGAGGGTAACTTAAACTCAGTAGAGTATGTGCAGGGGAAGAGCGTCCACTTTACATGTGTTCACTAAGACAGGATTTACTGTATTTAATTGTGATTTTCTTGTGTATTGCAAGACTTAAAATGTATTTGTTTATTTCAGGAGGTGGCGGATATGGTGGAGGCGGCTACGGAGGAGGCTTCGGAGGTGGCCGTGGTGGAGGACGTGGACGAGGTGGTCCACGTGGTGGCGGCCGTGGTGGACGAGGCGGTGGTGGTAAGTTCTCTTCTCTAGAATCGGGAAACTGAATGTACAGTTAATTATGCATTTAATTTCTTAAATGATGTATATTGTACCTGTTCAGGCTATTGTTCATTTTGGATTTTTGTGCATTTTTACGTACTGCAAGACTTATGTATGTATGTATAGCTTTATTGCCCTAATTTAATTAGGAGATACATATTATTTATATGCAATTACATCAAATATAATAAAATTAACATATGGACAGACAACCTATTTACAAGATGTCTGTATATAATATATATATATGTGTGTCTCAGAGTCAGACAGTGTTATCTATTTTCACAGCTCTGAGATTATAGTTGATTTTGACTAATTCTGCAACATGTTTCAACTTCAACATAGTATGTTGATCATTTGTATCATTAATGCCAAGGATTGTGTCACAATCAAATCTCACTTTCAGTTCAGTGCAGAATTTGGCCAGTTTCTCTCTGGCTGGAATGTAGCATTCAGCTTTACAGTAGAATAAGAAATGTTCTACTGTTTCTGTCTCATATGAGTCACACATTGTACATAATTTGGATTTGTTATCTCCTCCACGATATTTACTATTGAGCATATGTTCCCCAGTTAACAGTTTGAACATTATAATACAAGAAGCCATGGCGCTTGGAAATTGCTGTGCCACACACCACCAAATATTAGGTTTCAGTGTATTAAAGTTCAATTTACGAAAGTGATTTAAACCACTGTACATAAGGCTTTTTGTATATGTTCTCTGGAGTTGAACATCTGAGACTTTTGACAGAACCATCCGTTTCCATGCATATTTGCTAATATCAGAGTTGCCATATAACATGTCATGCACATCGACCCTTAGGCCATATGTCTCTACACGTTGAAGCATTGCTTTTATGGGTGAAAATATGTTACATTGATTTTCTACATTCCACAGGTAGAATATGCGATAAACACAGATCGCTTTATAAGCATTTGTAAACGGTAGCTTCAGTAAGCTCCAAAGAAATGTCAGGCTTAAAAAATCAATGTACAGATCGACATCTAGCCATCCTAATGTTGTGGAGGACAGAGGATTACTAGCATTTTTTGATATATATTGTATACGTTTTCCAATATCTTTTTGAGTATTTTCTAATTTAACTATATCACCATCCTGATAATTGATAATTGGTGCTGCGTACAGCATACTTGGAATAGAGAATGTCTTATATAGGTTTGAGGCTGATATTGGAGTAAGCCCCCCACAGCGATTACCTATTGCTAGTTGGCAGTAATACTGCCTCAAACCTTTATTGCAACGTTCATCTACATAATTAGTGATACATTTATTTGTAGAAAGAGGTATTCCCAGATGAGTTAGGGACTCTGATCTTGATATTTGTACACCTCCAATTTTTAATCGTTGTGCAGCACCCAGCTCTATTTTTTCATTAAATACCAAGTATGAACATTTTTTAGGATGAATGCTATATCGCCATTTGTAACTATATTGTATTATTTCAGGAGGATATGGTGGTGGCGGCTACGGAAGCGATTATAGTCAAGACTACAGCCAAAATTCATGGGGAGGTGGCGGCTATGACCAGAACAGCTATGGTGGCAGCAGCCAAGGCAACTGGGGTGGAGACCAGGGATACAGCAGTGGATTCTCAAATGGCGGTGGTTATGGAGGAAATAACTATGGCGGTGGCTACTAGGCAACCATAGTTCACCATAGCAACCTTTGTAAAGACTAGAGAACATCCAGTAACTATGTCATCTGTTGCTAAGCAACTGTTGCTAAGACTATGTAATAACAAAGATTGGATCTCGTTTTTTAACACTTCTAAGGGACATTATAAAGGAAATGAAACTCGGGTGAAACTTTGTAGAACTTGTAAATACAATAATCTCTATGATCAAGAAGAACTATTTATTCTACGATGTATTAATAGATTCTTAGCTGTTGTATTGAATGTATGTAAAATTGTACAGTTTCATCCTCTATCATACTCAAAAATCTCCATCACACTAAGGACATTACGAGGTGAATCAATCCTGTGTTCATTATCCAGTTACCATAGCAACAGTAACTGATTTTAGCGTTATTATTTTGTACATTTTAAACATCATGGAGAGTTTGTGACCGCGCCTGAGCGTTGGCGAAGATTTTGTACGTGTAAAGAACAGTGGGTTTTAAAGTGTGGTATCTGTATGTAACCATGGTAACTAAATTATCAAGGTTGGATACAGGAATCCCAACAAATGGCTGTAAGATTTTACTTAACATCCTTAAATGAACATGTGAATAAAGCCATATTTTTGTATGTGAAAATAATTGTGTTATTTTGGATATAGAATGTAGTTAGACTAAGAGGAAGACCATAGATTTCCGATAATCCCCATCTTTTGAAACATTTACCCTTTAAAACACTGAGAATTGAGTAACCTTTCCATTGATACCGAATACACCCTGTGTCTCATGTAGTGAACTGTTTTGAGTTATGAGCAGTATAGAATAATTTTGAAGAGTTACAATTTTTTTATCTATTAAATCCATGTCCAATTGGTACTATGAAGCACCCTATGCAGACAGAGCCTGTGGGGAGCGGAGGGTGCGGAGCTAACGGTCATTTTTGAATTTAAATTTGGGATATTTCTGGAACTAAGCAGTTTTGGGACTTCAAATATACCAAGATATGTGTATTTGACACCAAATATCAATACAATTGTGAAAATAGTAGCGCAATTCATTCTATATATTCCAGACCTATATATTTTGAAATTATCCTTTTAATACTGAGTCCCCAGCATTCATAAAAAATGGTGTTCAAGGTACACTATCTATACAAATTATTTTTGCATCTTGGAAGCCAGGCAGTATCAGTGTGATTTTATAAAAATTCGGAAATGTTTTTCAGATATGAGCCCCCTCTAAATATTGGGTGTGGAGCAGCTCCATAAACGTAGCTCCGCACCCAATATTTAGAGGGGGCTCATATCTGAAGAACATTTCCGAATTTTTTTAAAATCACACAGATACTGCCTGGCTTCCAAGATGCAAAAATAATTTGCATGGGTAGTGTATCTTGAACACCATTTTTTATGAATGCTGGGGACGCAGTATTCTACCATGTTACATATTCAATGAGGTCACGTGAGAAAGCATTGCGCACGCAACAGACGTTTGAAATATCAGTGTGTTGCAGACACGCGAATAGAACAGACGTATCGCCTTTGGTGCGATATTTACGGTTAGTGAATTAAAAGTTTTTCATTAAACCTTCACTTATTATTGATCAGTATTCTGTTGGGAAGCAAAAGAGTATAATTACAATTTTGTTATCTATGATGCTGATTATTTTCATCATTTTGACACGGTCAATTTGATATTTCAATTTCTTTGTTCCGTTTCCTTTGTTTAAAAAGGCGGGAGAAACAGTCAATAAATATTGACTCATCCTTTAATGCCTTTGTGCATACGTTTTTCTACCACACTGCGTGGAATTAAAACGTCCTTTGACCATTCAACTGTTCAAAAACAGTTATTTATACGTGCTGTCGCATGATTGTACAATTCTGAGTACAAAAACATACCACGTGCAATACCATTGACACGTTCAACTGCTCAATAGCAGTTCTGCTCAATAGCAATTAGTTCATGCGTTCAGAGTTAGTGCATGTAAATCGTACGCAATCGAACATGTCACAAGCATCAAAGTCTAAACCTTCCTTTCAAGAAGATTTGGAAAGTGGAACAAAGATAAAATCTTCAAAGAAGTCCAGCTCTGTAAAAGCTAAAAGTTCCGACAAGTCGGTCACTATGAAGTCGCCAAGCTTGACATCTGAAGCCACTGCCTCTTCAATGGGAAGTGAGCCTTGTAAATCCACGAACAATGAATCTGGTATCCCCGTGAGCTTTGTACAGGATATTACAAATGCTATTAGCATGGGATTGGGATGTATCAAAGATACTATGGTCGAAGCTTTAGGTGATATAAAGCAATCTTTGAAAACCGACTACCAAGCTGGCCAATATGATGATTATGGTGATATTCCTGATCAAGAGGATGAGGATCCTGACGTCCTTGAACCACCTGCTAAAAAGCAGAAAACTTCTTCGTCCGAATCGACTGAAGTTTTTTCTTCCCTTATGAATAAACTTCGATCTAAGGCCAAGTTACAAGACGATAATGGACCTCCTTTATCTGAAGCTATGGCTGAAATCGTCACAGAACTAATCCAGGCGAAGCCAGAGGAGGACGATATCGTATCTAAATTAGATGGTCACAAGACGCCTGAAAACGTTCCATTATTGTGCACTACAAAGGTCAATGAACCTATTTGGACTCGGGTCTCAGCCGAAGTTCGCTCTAATGATATTAAATATCAAAAAGTGCAAACTCCCCTTGTGAAGGGTATAATTGCTTCTTCACGTGCATTGGAAGCACTGGATAATCTCAAAGAGACTCTTAGCAAAGAATCCGATGCTTATGATGATGTGCTTACTACCATCGCGGAATCAGTGTACGAAAATATGCTATTCAGCAGTTATGCAAACTTGAAACTGAACATGCGTAGACGTGAACTTTTCAAACATGAAATTAATCAAAGTTTCAAGCATTTGTGCGCCAAATCTGTGCCAATTACCCAGTTTCTCTTTGGAGACGACATCTCTAAACAGGTGAAAGAGATAGCAGAAATGAATAAAACGCAACTGCGAGGCGTTTTTCCGTCTTCCACTCGGGGTAATCGAGGAAGGGGACGTGGTTACGGTGGACGTGGTCGTGGAAACAATTCCAACAACCATTTTTTAGGCCAGGGCTACGGCAGAAACAACCACCAGCGGAACTCTACCCGATATCCCAACAAGAGAGGGAGAGGGGCCAAGAGCAAGTCCAGCAATGCCAGCGAGAAAACCACCAATCAATAGGTCATGTTGACACTATTACAATAGACACTGCACCTGAAAAGGTAAGACAAACACTTAAAAACTCTGTCAATTATTTTCAAGGTGGTCGACTTAAAATGTTCTTGCATGAATGGGAACGTATAACATCAGATCAGTCTTTATTAGATGCTATCAGTGGTTACACGATTGAATTTTGTGATGATGATATTCAACAAATGCAATGGCCATGTAACACAAATTACTCAAGGTCAGATCATGAAAGCATGGATCTAGAAATTGCCAAATTTGCAAAAAAGGGTATCATTGTACCAATTGATGATTCTAAAAAAGGTCACGTGTCACCTATTTTCCTGCTACCCAAAAAAGACGGGTCAAAAAGAATGATTTTAAACTTATCTGATTTAAATCAGAGTGTAGAATATCATCATTTCAAGATGGAAAATCTTCAACATGCCCTCAACATCGTGTCACCTAATATGTACATGAGTTGTGTCGACATTAAAGACGCTTACTATAGTGTGCCAATTGCTACTGATTCTCAAAGTTTTCTGCAATTTGAATGGAAGGGCCAACTATATCAATACACTTGTCTAGCTCAAGGGTTATCTTCGGCCCCCAGACTATACACCAAAATTATGAAACCTGTTTTTGCTAAATTGCGAAATGAAGGTCATCTATCGGTAGCATATATTGACGATTGCTGTCTATTTGCAGAAACCTCTGAGCAGTGTAAGCAGAACACTTATGACACAATCAATTTGCTCAGAACACTTGGCTTCATAGTTCATCCAGAAAAGGTTATCTTGACACCAACACAGGTAATAACTTTTCTTGGTTTCGAACTTAATAGTATCAATATGACTGTGAAACTTCCTGGTGATAAAGCCCAAGTTGTGAAATCTATGTGTAAATCATTATTGTCTCGTAGCAACTGCACAATCAGGGATGTAGCACAAATCATTGGTAAATTAGTATCATCTCTACCAGGTGTTCAATATGGCCAGCTTCATTATAGAAATCTTGAAAGAGATAAAACAAAGGCTTTATCTATCAATGAAGGCAACTTTGATGCATGCATGCAATTATCAAATGATGCAAAATCCGACCTACAATGGTGGATTAATAATGTAGTGAAATCCGTTAAACCAATTTCTGTTACAGATCCAGTTATGCTGTTACGAACAGACAGCAGCACAAGAGGTTGGGGTGCAATATGTGTTACCAATTCTGTTAGAACAGGTGGACGTTGGTCAGCTGAAGAAGCTTCCAATCATATCAATTTTCTAGAATTAATGGCCATATATCTTGCATTGAAATGTTTTTGTAGAGAAAATTCACACATCCACGTACGTGTTGAAACGGATAACACTACAGCTTTGGCTTACGTTAACAAAATGGGAGGTATCACATCGATTGCTTGTGATAACCTAGCAAAAGATATTTGGAAATTTTGCATTTTCAGAAATATCTGGCTTTCAGCAGCATTTATTCCAGGTTCTGAGAACACTGACGCTGATGAGGAATCTCGAGTGTTCCATGATGAAACAGAGTGGATGCTCGACAAAACAGTATTCAATCGTCTGGTTAATCTGTCTGATTGGCCATCTCCCGTAATTGATATGTTCGCTTCAAGATTGAACCATCAGCTCCCACGTTATGTGTCCTGGAAACCTGATCCAGATGCTGAAAATATCGATGCATTGAATATCAAGTGGAATGATGAAACTTTGTATGTGTTTTGTCCTTTCAGTTTGATCACGAGAGTTCTAAAGAAGATCGAACACGATGCCATAACCAATGCCATTGTAATAGCACCAGTGTGGACGACACAGCCATGGTGGCCGAAACTTCTGAGACTCTTGATCGATATCCCAGTGATATTACCCAAAAGGAGAACGTTATTGTACCTACCGTACGACAAACAGAAACGCCATCCTCTTTGGAGAAAGATGACTTTGACTGCATGTCTTTTATCCGGCGATCCATCGAAATCCAGGGAATTTCGAAAGACACTACCGAAGTCATCTTATTATCTTGGCGATCTGCATCCACAAATCCAGAAATTACCAGACACTTTCTT